AAAGATATGATCTATGAGACAAGGAGATAGTGATTTATAAAGGAGTAAATAGATAGGGAAATTAAATGAAAAGGGTGTAAAGTGTGAATTAAGTGGATATGAAATAAGGAAATGGTAGATAGTGTTTTCAACGGTCAAAAGTAGGTGTATAACCAAGAAGAGAAAAGATCGAAATGGATTGAGTTACTTGGAAATTGAAGGCAAATCATTAGTTACAATTACGTAAGGAATAAAGTGGAGAAAGCAACACGAGAACATTAAAAGACATGTTCTTATTAATATGTTCAGTGAAAATTCGAGGATGAATTTTCTTTAAAGGGGAGATTTGTAACATCCTCAATACCGGGTTAGTGACCAAATATAAAGTTTCAGAAATTGGTGATTAAAGTAGATAATTGAATAGTTCAATGATTTATTGGAAATATTACCTTAAAGATGCTAGTAATTATAAAGGTATTAAAGGGCAAAAGGGTCATTTGACCAAGAAATTAATTAAAAATGGGACATGGTAAGGATATATACACGTGGGAAATGATAGATTTCTCCAGAGCTTTCTTCTTTCTTTTTCTTCATACGTGAAAGAGAGCCAAGCAAAGGTAATCTTTCTGATCTGTTGATTATTTGTTAATTTAAAGTTTGGGTTTTGATGATTAGATGATAACTAAGCTTAAGGAAAGCTTAAGTTATCGTAAAATCAAAAGATAAAGAGTTAGGGAGATTAAAAGATTTGGAGTTCTTGAATGAAATTTTGATACAGAGTTGATAATTAGGAAGTTGGATTTTTACTTGTCATCAATCTAGTTAAGACATATGAAGTGTTAGAAGTGGAATTAAATCATGTTGCAAAGTTGGTATAATTCTTGAATCTCATAAGGAGGATAGGATTTTGTGGTTTAAGATGAAATAAATGAGTATATATTAGTTTAAATAGGTGTATAAGAGTTAAGAATATAAAAAGGGATGAAATATGAAGAGTTGATAGAATAAAGAAGTGATTTTCGTGCTCAAAGTATCATTTCTGGGTTGTTTGCATTGATGCACTCTCAAATAAATGAACATCGAATGCAATCAGTGCATCGATGCATAAGGAGTGCATCGATGCACCTGCTTAAAATACAAACATCGAATAGGATTTATGCACCGATGCATATAGTGCATCGATGCACCCCGTCAAGGGATGCATCGATACATGGTGTAGTGCATCGATGCATACCTTCATTAAAAGATAAAATAGCTTTCTTATTAGCCTAAGGAATGATAGTTTAGAATATATCATTAGTATATTGATATGTATCAATGTAATTATATGTAGAATAGAACGTAATCTCGTTCCGGAACAATTGAATGATTAGAATCGAGTCAAAGCAGGCTAAGGTGAGTACATATTATAAGTATGGTACAATGGAATAAGACTTGTGATAAGTCTAATTCCTATGTTGATTTTCATAGCACAATAATTATAAACATGCATACATGATAATTATTATGATACATGCATAAAGTATATATGTGCATATTATTTGATAAATGATATATATGAATAGATTCAAATGTACATGTGACATGGTAAAGGATATGAGTTATATGATCACAAGAGAATGACATGAATATATGAACATAAATATAAATAATGCCCATGGTATACGATATGAGAGCTATAGGTATAGTTGGCATGCCAAGAGTCGAGGGTTTTACGTGGTCCTTTGGGACATATATGTATCCTTTGGAACATTTACAGGGTCTTTTGAGACAGATTTGATCCTCTAGAATATATATATGGTTCTTAAGGAGTGGTCATTTGGGACAAATACAATACATAGGTCCTTCGGGACAAATTTCATAGCCCCTAGTGGGACCCCATACGAGCTGTGGTGACAGCAATAGTGCACAACCTCAATGTACTCGAATACCTTGACTTCTCAAAAATGTACATGGGCCTATAAAAAGTTATTAAAGGTAATTGCATTGTTATAGTTATATGTTACCATTTTATTATTATTTACATTGAATTGCATATGACATGATTGAATGAATAGATTGCATGTTCATATTCATATGAAATGGATTTTTATTATATTTATATGTCTCACTAAGTCTATGACTTAGTGTGTAAGCGATTTACACGTACGTACCAAGGATCAGGAAGAACGGAAATAGGGTGGCAAGAACAATAGCACTGCTAGAAGATCGGATCAGAAATAACTGTTAAAGTATGTATTTTGTTGTGTATAGTATGTTGGCATGCAAGTAAAGTGTCATTTATGAATGCTCTGATCGATTTTGGTTGTTTTGGTCATTTTATGTAAATAAACTACTTTGGTGTAAATGAAAGTTTTAAATGTTTCTTGAATTTTGTCAAGAGTCAAAGTTTGAAAAGTCAATGTGACACCTCAGACTTATATTCGGGTTTGATACGGGTTGGGGTGTTACATAAAATATATATAATTTTACCTTATATATTTAGGAATAATTATAATAATACCCCTCTATATATAATTTTTTTCAATTAAGTCACTGTTTTTATTGAATAAAAATATTTTTTTATTATTTCGGGTCAGGTGAAACTTTATACTGGTCTGGTCGGGTTGAGTCAGTTTTTTTAAGTGTGATATTCGGGTCGGGTCGGGTTCGGGTTTAGGGTGAAAAATACCCGACCCGACCCCAAAAATATATAATTTTACCTTATATATTTAGGAATAATTACAATAATACCCTCTATATATAATTTTTTTCAATTAAGTCACTATTTTTATTGAATAAAAATAATTTTTTCTTTATTATTTCGGGTCGGGTTTCTAATTCATATATTCGGGTCGGGTATGGTGAAACTTTATTTTGGTCGGGTCGGGTCTCGGATGAAGGTTCCCTTGTTCTCAGGTCGGGTCGGGTGGACCAAAAATCCGACCCAACCCGACCCATGGCCATCCCTAATTGGGATGATTTTAACTTATGATGTTTATTAGCATGATTTTTATAATTTATTGAAATGAATAATCAATCAATAAGATTAAAATGTAATATTTTTAATTTTTTATAATATATTACTACATGTAATTTATAAAACAAACTAAAATTAAGCAAAAAAAATAATAATGACAATCCTATCATTTTACATTACTGAAATTAAATTCATCTGACATGTCTGCGAACCAAACAGAATATGAAATTGGATTCCAATTCAATTTTCTGCCAACCAAACAGAATATGGAATTGAATTTCAATTCTTGACATATTCTAATTATTTCACAGACTCTAATTCCCTCATAAACATTATAGCGAGCCAAACGCTACCTAAATTTTTGGGCTTTTCCATTTCCCTTCCTATGTCTTCTTCTTCGAAGTGATTCTAAAGACAGTAGAGATAATTTTCTGAAAAGAAAAGCTGTTTTAAGATTATTATTATTTTCATCCTAAATCTGCAGAATTGAATCCATAGAGAGATTCATTAGCTATGTGAAATACTAAAATGCAATCGATTAATATAAGGTTAATAAAACGAAAAAAATTCAATTATAACCGAAAATCTTATCAATAACCTAATATTTTAGGTTGAATAAAATAATATTTTTAGTTGTAAGTCTGAAATCCTATAATGTAACTTTTTGATTGTAACCGTAAATATTATAAATTTATATAATTTTTTAGATTAAATAATATAACATTTTAAATTAAAATTGTCTTAAATTAGACTATCGCATGGTATATCTACCCTCGGCTATGGTTGTTGATTGCTACGTCATTCCAACTGACAAAGGCAAACAGTTTTCAGTTGCCTACGATTTGATTTAACTTTTTTTCCTTTCTTTTTTTGTATTGTAGGTATCAAAATGGAGAAAATTAAAATTACAGACACAAAATAAAATAAGAAAAACTTGGGACACCAAAATATAAAATTACAAAAATTTTGTCTAAAACGTAGCACACGTATTACGTGTTGTATATACGTATTGAGATGAACATAAATCAAATGACAACACATGGATGGATCTGTGTGCAAAGATGAAAGCATCACATTTTAACCGTATTATCTATAAATAAATTTGCAACCAATAAAACTTAAGAGAATTTGTACTAAACAATTTTTTTAATAAAATAAAATTTAATTTTTGTTCATATTAATGCGTCTCTACGACATGTAACATACATATTATATCTTTTTAAACCAGATTTATGTGATTTATATTTTAGCTTATTTTTCTCGTTTTGATCCATTAATTATAATCTTTTACATTTTGATTCTTGTGTTATAAACGAGTGAATTAAAATTATTGTCGACCCTCGATAATTTTATTAAAATTATTGACTCTCGATAATTTTATTAAAATTAATGATAGTTGCTGATAACTTTAGATATTATTGTATAAATCCTGCCAATGATGTTACCCTACATCATCCCTTTAAAGAATGAAAATAACAAGAAATAGCATGACAATGAGAATTCGAATGAAATGATGTAAAATTTTAAAATTATGTTTATTTAAATAATTTTTAATGATGAATTATTATTTGATTTATTAATAGTGCATAAAGTTATATATGATATTTGATAATTTTATTCAAATAAATTATTATATAATTTAAATTAGATAAACTTAAAAGGGCGATCTATTAACTTAAATAAATCATATTTGAAGCACCAGAAATACACATGCAATCCACACTGGATTTATTCAAACAAGTATTTGTTAAACTAATTTTAAATGATTTATAAATAAAATGAGCATAATCAAAAGTTTGTCTGTAAATAATTCATTTAACTTATTTACATTTACGAAAATAAATTAAATCTATTTGCCAACTAATCTTGATTGGTACTATACAGGCCTATTACGGGGATAACCCTTTTAACCCAATTTACTTTGTTCATAACGTTAGGATTCAAATTACAGATCTTGCTTAAGAGACCTACCACCTCATCATATTAGACCAACGAGTAATTAATAATTTGAATACAATTACTTTTTATTTGGAAAAGGGAATAGAAAAGGAAGAAGATTTAGTTCAGCAATGTAATGTACTTATTGATTGTGAATAAATATGGAGAACATGAGACATTATTATAACCAGAAAATGGAGCAGAAATTCAACTATGCCTAGTAACCACATGATAAAAAAGAAGTTATGTATCTTCAAGAATCTCTCTGTGAACATGCATGCAAGAGGTGCTGCAATACTTGTAATTGTACCTGTGAAAGGGAACTTTTCCAGCCAATGATGTATTACAACAGGAGCAGCTAATATCGCCTGGACCTGATACTCCACTTTTCGGTTGTATACTAGTCGTGGATCCTTCCGTCGTGCTACTGCCTTGAGCATCCTGGGCGCAGGAGGCAGCAGCTGCGGTTGCGGCGATTCTCCTCTCAGCAGCAGCAGCTCTCTTTTCCCTCTCAATCTTCAATTCTTCCTATTGTGTATTACAGGAGCAAAAGCAGGAATAGTTGAAATATTGCTTAATTCGAGGTGATTTATAGAGAAAACTAATGGAAGAATACGAAATATATTCAACCAAAACTGTCGCAATAATTTAATCCGATGAAATAATCACCTCTTTAGAGATTCGCTGTGCACCAACTGGTTGGGATTGTCGTCCCTTAGAAACTGAAGCTCCAGTGGCCTGGTTTTGTGGAATTGCTACGGTACTCTGAGACTGGGTAGCCTCAGCCTGAACATTGACATGAAAAATAAAATTTCTCATAAAATGCAACAAAGAACATACCTTTTTCATCCGTATAGAATTACATATCACCCCGTAGATGCACCTTCATTGCACAACAGAAAATTCAACATCTTCTCCGTTCAACTAATCCGGCATTTCTGATGAACCCGTGTTTTATTTTAGTTTTACTTAATGTTGGAAGCAAGATAAGAGCCTTTTTTCTTCTTTCAGTCATATATTCTTTACACTTTCTGAAGGGAGGATTTGCAGGGTGAAATTTTGGTGCAGCAGGTTGATACATGGTTTCTTCCATTTCAAAATTGATTAATAGAGAATATTCACCTGAGCTTTCTTTTCCCTGGCTCTACGCAATTTCTTTAGTTCCTTTGCTCTTGCTTTCCTCTTGGAATCTTTCTCTGCCTGAACAACCATATATGGAGAAAAGTCATCAGACTCGATATGGAACACAAAAATTTCACACATTAAGAACCTACGTTACGCAAGGACAGCAACAGCTAAAGGTATTCAAATGATTAGATGTCCCAAAAGTGAGAAGAGAAGTAATTTTGAAAGAAAAACTTCTAAGAAAATTTGATAAAATCATTTTTTGACAAAGTTCATGTGCGTGGGCAAATGAGAAAGAAAAGAGTGGCATAAGCCGCATAACTAACCAACATTAAATGTGCTTCTATTGACTTTGAAAATTTCATGATTGATAACTATCTCATGGTCAACAGCTATGCAAAGATTTTTATTCTTTTTAAGGAAGAAATACATTTATTTCAAAGATAGGTCTAATTTTTAATAGAAGAACGAATATCTCATGATCGATAGTTATGCAAAAACTTGTACTTTTTATAGGAAGAAAGATAATATTGAACAATACTCAGCCTGCTTAATCGATAACTACTTATATAATCTGAACTGTTATTTATCATGTTTTATCACGCAATATCAGAGGTTAAGCACATCAACTGTCAATAAGATTCGTGGTGAATACTCTGATACAAGACCAACGAAGAAAAATAAGCATACTTGCTTGGTTGCTTGAGATTCCTCCATTTCTTTAGTTAAGGCACTAGGTACTTTCGCAGAATTCCAATCCCACTTCTCAAGGTTTGATGCCATGAACCGTCTAAACATATTCCTAACTTCCTTCTCATTGGCCAGCATGTAAGGAGTTCGCCCTCTTTGATCTTTAATACAGGGATCTAAACCCTGCTCTAGGAGTTCCATAACTTTTTGAGCATCTCCAGATTTGTGCTGCTTCGTGCAAAGGTGTTGAAGTACAAACAACTTCACTATCACTCTCACTTGATATAATATCAGCTTTTACATTGCGTGAAGGAGTTTTGGAAGCATCACTACCATTCAAGTTTTGCCCCAGTTCCTCTTTGTGGGAGTATAGGTTGCCATTATTATTGGCGCTACTACTTAACAACATATCTTCTTTGGTGCCTGGTGGAATTTCCTTCTCTTCCACTTCATACGAAACTTGTGTAAGTTGGCTATATATACGCTTGGCCTCCTTTAATGTGGGCCTACAAACAGTTAATGGAACATTTCGAACAGCACAGAACTGGTGACTGAAACAAGGTTTATCCCCATTGAAAAACACATTACGATTGCTTGAAGGAGCATGAACGAAAACACATGAGGAAGCTTCAAAATAAGACTTCCAAGAAGCAAGCAACTCTTGAATTTCCTAAATATTTATAATAACGCGAGTCAGTCAACATTAGGAACATGAACAAAAAACAAAGAGTAACAGAAATAAAACAATGTTACCGAATTAAAACCATGACGGAGTTTAAAGCATCACTAGAACATTGCTAGGTGATGGAAACAGAACATTGAGGACCTAATAACAAAAATAATAACCCAATACCTTCTTCAAAGCAAGTTCATTATGCCGCCGGAGTGAAGCTCCAGCAGAATGTGCAGCCTTCCCCATTGCATCTTTGGACGACTGTTTCTTACCAGCCTTGGCCCTCACCACATATCTACAAGAAATGGAACGAGATTATGACTATCGCTGGCTATGAATACATTCTAAGTTATAACATTAACAGAATGAGATTATATATATATATGGGGACCTGTGGAATGTTTTGTGAGCCACCACTCTGTTGCCATTAAACACACAACCAGCAAAGTGCCAACCACTTGAAAGCAGCACAATCCTGAAACTCACATTATCCTTAGGCTCTTGAATCAAAGCTTTCAACCTCTCAATCACCTCATTTTCTCTCAAGCACCCAGGATTATCATTCCACACTTCTTTATCATTCTCATATAGAACACTTTCAGACTCATTTAAAATTAAAGATTTCCAAATTGAAACTCTCTCTCCAGTTTGAAGAAGAATAAACAACTTCTTCCTGATATTTTCAATCAATCCCTTTGATGCATCATTGCGAGGATAAGCTCCCTTATCAGCTTCATCCTCAGATCCCGAAATACTTGAAACCTCGAAGTCTTTGTAAGAATCCATGGTCAACTCATCAAACTCTTCCTCCTTTACAGTATCCTTACCAGCAATGCTTAATTTTACATATAATCAAATAAAACGGGGAAATAAAAAATCCATTGCTTCAATTCAAGAATAACTTTTTCAGAGAAGTAAAAAAAGAAGAAGCAAATTTAAAAGAAACAGGTGACAAAATTTACATTGAAACGATGAATGTCGGATTTGAAGTGGGAGCGCTGGTCCTGGAGAGAGTCAAACTCAGCCTTGCAGGTGTTGCAAGTCCATCTGGGCAAAGCAACGCCGGTTTTGGTGCTCTTTTCGTTCCTTTCTTCGGTGTTATCAGGGTTTTCTGAAGAAGAAATTTCGGAAATTGAGAGGGGCTCGAAGAGTGAAGTTAAAGGAGATAGTAAACGACAAGAATTGAATTAGTTGACAGGGAGGTCAAATATCGAACGGTATCGATTTTCGTGTGAAGTTGTGGCGGCGGTGGCTATGGCGGAGGCAGAGGCAGGGGCGGGGGCAGAGGGAAGAGGTTCGGTCTCCATGACTGTCGTTTGGATTGAGTCCTTTGGTTTACTTTGCTATGCTGCAGCGAAACGACGCATTGCAAATAGGGATGGACATTTCGCCCCCGATGCGATGGTTTCTATCTAATTCGGTCGGGTTAATTATTTATTTTAAAATTTTGGATTTGGATTTGATGAATTTATTTTTAAAGAGTGAAGTTAAGTTTAGGTGAAAATAGTAGTGAGATAATATTATAATTATTTATTATATATTTAAAGATAATTATATATATATATATATATATATTTGAGTTAAATCGAGTTAATCAAAATCGGTGTTGTTTCTAAAGGTAATGAGTTCGAGCACCAACGATTATAAATGTAATTTGATGTTTATTGTCAACTGATTGAAAGTATTTAGAAGAAATATCATCTTATAATCATCTTAGCTTAATAAAAAAAATATTAATTTTAACTTTAAAAATCGTGTCAAATTTGATAAGGCCTACTAAACCCAAATTAAATTAAATGTAGGGGTTTAATTCTGGGGGTGAATTTAGATGGATTAAAAACTACTTGATCCGACTTATAGATTTAGATAATAATTGGGTAAACTATACAATATGATTGAACTTTAGATTATATAATGTTTTTACCATTAAACTATAAGTTACTTCAAATTTGGTATATTTTTTAGAATTGAAAGGAGACTAGAACAGCAAAACTAACTCTGCGTTGCAACTACGGGTTGAACTGAGGTAGCGTCTGCAGAGAGGAGAGCCATAATTTCATCCGGAGGAAGAGGATACTGCACCAGATTAAAATAGTGAACCAGAGCAAGTTTGGCCATCAGGTCGGCCACCTCATTCTAGCTATGGGGATCCACTTGAAACGTACCACCCAATCATGGGCACAAATACGTGTAATCGCTCGACCAAGGGAAAGTTGGCTCCGATCATGATATCTTCCAACAGCAGCTTAATTGCGTGAGAGCTATCCGACTGTACTAGGAGATGGAAACACCCAGTGGTCCGAGCAAGGAGGAGACCCTCATAAATTTAGTATTAAACTTTAGTTTCATATTCAATTAGGACATTAGACCGTTAAATAATAATAATATGATCGTTTTTTGTTTCTCATAAACTTTAGTTTGTGTATCAATTTTATCATCAAACTTTAAAATATTTCAATTTTAGACATTGAATTTTAATTTGTGTATGAATTTGGTTCATGTTGAAAATCATCAACTCCTTTGAATATTATTATTAGTTTGCAGTTGTTCGTTGCCAATCACCATTTGCAATAAGATTGATATCAAAATATTTACGTTACATTCCTCTTTCTTCTTCTCAATTTGTTTTTTTATAAAACTCATTCAAAATTGACAAAAATACATTTAAAGATTCAACATTTTAATATCATGATCTCATCAAAAGGTCGTCCAATAAGACTAGTTTTGAAGTATGTTATTCATCTTATCGAAAGAATGCTCTCATATTTAAAATTTTGAACAAATGCACCAAACCCCAAAAATGATAGATAGTTTTATGTTTAATTTCATGAGTTTTAAAGAAATTATGATAAAAAGAAATAACTATAACACGATATTTTAATCATTATTGTATTTTCTTAATTTTTTATCGATACTTATTAAAATTGACAATAATAATATTCATTAGTATCTATAATTACAATAAACATTACAACTAAAACCACGTTTATGATGAAAATCAAATCCCTAAAGCCTTGGAGCTGAGCACTAATAAAATCAAATAAACAAAAAGAATCCGCCTAAACCCTGTTCATTGGGTTGCTTCTCTCACTAGTGAAAATGTAAATGCATAAAATTTATACACAAATGCAGCAGCTGAGGCCTTTCCAGGTCGTTATTCACTTGGTTTTGTATATATATAATATCGAACACGGCGACATCAATGGTGCATCTTCTATTGTCATTCTTTCCCAAACCAATCAAAACTCGAAAGGACTATGATCTTTTACGAGGGTTGATCCCTTCGCTCTCCGAATTATGTTTAAACTTATTCTTCGCTATTTTTGAATTCAACTACATAAATCAAATATTAAAATATTAATAATTATATTTAATTTCATGTAAGATAAAATGTGCTCTTAAATTATTATCAAATTAAAATTAAATAATCATCGAACTCATTAAATAATTTCAATGATAAAAGAAAATGTTGTTATTTCTAGAGGTCCTAGATTCGAACAGCTACGTATGCAGAGTTGATGTGTTGCATTTCAATTGGTTAAGAAAGTTCTAAATATATATTACCTCATAATCACCCCAAACTATTAAAAAATTAAATAATAATCAAAGTATTACGGAGTCAAATCTAGCAAAAAAAAAACCCTACTTGTCTCATTATCATATCTAATTTTTTATTAGGGTAAATTGATATATAATATTTATGTATGGTTAGTGAGAGAAGCTCCACCTTCTCCCTAAAAATTAGGCGCTTTCAAAAAATTTCTTTTTTTATCCCTTTTCATATCTCTTAGATGGCGAGTAAGGTGAGAAGATCTATTGGGAAAAATTGCGTTACAGTGATCATTTTCAATATTCCCGAGTGTCTTCATCATCTAGGTCTTTGGTTATTATTCGATAAATATGGCAAGGTGGTTGATTCTTTCATCCCTAAAAAAAGAAGCAAGAGAGGAAGTAGGTTTGGTTTTGTTCGCTTCACCAGATTGGAAGACGCGAGGAAGGCTATCAACTGTGCTGATAGATCTTGGATTCAAGGTTTTAAAGTTAGAGTTTCAACCTCGTGAAGAATTCTGGAGAAAGAAGTTTTGTGGTCTAAATTCAGCCGAGGTTAAGAGTAAAGTGGAGGTTGATACTCATTCAGAGGCTCCCATTGTCGGTGTTGTTGACGAGGATAAGCTCTTACTCTCAGAAATACCTTGGTAGGTTGGTGCAGAAAATTTTTAAAAATGAAAGAGTTGGCTACTCTTATGCACAAGGCATTTTAGGTCCGAAAATTATGAGGTTAAGTGGTTTAGCAATTTTAATCATTTTTGAAGAAGAAGAGAGTAGGGATTATGCTCTTAATAATCAAATTGGGGCGTTGAAAAGCTGCTTTGACAAAGTGGAAGTGTGGTTGGAAAATTTTCAGTGCAGCAGCCGTCGGGCATGACTATCGTGCAAAGGGATCCCACCGTTTGTGTGGAGTCATTCCGCCTTCAGAAACATTGCAGACAAATGAGGATATCTTATCTCCATTGAGGAATGGACCTTAAATCTCGGCTCTTTTGATAGGACATTGTTTCAGATAACTACGATCTGCCAAGCTCGAGTGGAAGACTACTTAGATTTGAAAGTCGGGGATCAGATCTATACGATATATGTTTCTGAGTTTGAACCATGTTTCAGCCCAGAATCTATCTGGGTAGATTTGTCCTTGATGGAAAAGGAAGTTGCCTACCCGTTATCCACGGTGGGGGAACTCGTTGGTGACTCGCTAGTAAAGCCTTTCTAGATGGAGGAATGTGCTGAGGAAACAGGAAGAAGTGTGGACTCATCGGAGGAGAAGAATTCCGAGCGGTGTTCTGAGGAAGAAGACAGTCTAATATGTTGTATGGGGAACATAACTAGAGGCAGCAACTTGTCGGGTGAGGATAAGAAGGAAATGAACATAGGGGAGGAATTAATTATGGGACTGAGGAATATTGTTGCTGGTCAGGGGATGGTACAAACGAAAATTGAGGAAGTAGTGGAACACGAGAAAATGTTGGATCACGCGGAAAGAGACAGAAAATGAAAAAAGTAAAATTTTTTGAGACTGTATGTGCTTATGAGAGAATGAAGGATTATTTAATAGATTTCCCCATGTTGGATGGTAGGGTAGAGTCAAAGGTGGTGGAAGATGTGATTAATGTGGGCCTTACAAATAATTGTGCATTCAAAAGATCCAAGGGTGAGGCCAGATAGAACCGGAGAGCAAAAGAGGGGAAAAACAATAATTACAGCTCTCTCCAAATAGTTCAAGGAAAATATTCTGCTCTCTAATGGACGTCTAGAGACTTCCGCAACAAGATTAATCAGAGTAATGTGCAATGTGAGGAAGAATTGTCTGAATTTGAAGGTAGAATCCTATATGATTATGACTTCCAAGCAAGGTGGCAGAGACAAAAGAAGGAAGCGAAAGAATCCTTACAGATTGGGAAAGAATTGGGTATAGAGTCTAAAGGCTCACGAGTGTTTTTGATTTCGAAACATTATAGCAGTGGAAGTATTGAAAGATACAATATGTAGTGATTAATTTTCGGGGACTCGAATATGATTTTTGATTTTGGAGTTGGAGGTTCGGATGGTCTCCGATGTCAAGTCAAGTAATTAGTGGCAGAATGGCGGATAGAGTTTTTTCGAAGTTTGTTTTGTTCAACATTTTTCGTGTGGAAGCTCATGGCTTTAGTGTTTGAATTTGACTTTGTGTCAGCTGATATATTTGGCTTCTATTATAGTTGTATTGTGTTGTGTTGTATTTCGAGCCAAGTTATGGTTAGTCATATTGGAGTTGTTGTTGTAGCTGAGATGATTAGGCAGTTAGTGTTTGTTGTTGAGGGTTGTATTCGGTTGTTTTTGGTTTTTTGTCTATGTTGGGGGTGTCTCTCTGTTTGTATCTTATGTAATTTATTATGTTTAATGAAATCTTAAGGCACTCTTTTCCTCCTTCCTCTGATTAAAGAGCTTCTCTACAAGCTCCTTTAATCAAGAAGAGGTTTTTTAACGAGACCTTCAATTCCTATAAAAAATTAGGGTAAATCGATTATAAGCAATATTTAGATAACTTCTTTTTTTGAAAAATCAGGGATAAGTACAAGGTAGTACCTGTTTAAAGATAACTCTCAACATTTTGACATTGAACGCTCGTACCTTTGACATTCTTTGTGCTCAAACCTGAGACCTCAAAGAATAACAACAATTCCTTAACCACCAAGGACACATACGTTCATATAATGTTAAGTGTATCTTAAAGTATATGAATTATTTTGTTCTATTGACGTATCAGATAATAACTCATACATAATTACTAAGATTTAGACTAAATAATGGAGATTTGAAGAATCCAGAAAAGGAGAAA